ATCTATCTATCTATCTATCTATCTATCTATCTATCTATCTATCTATCTATCTATCTATATGGCATTCAGCTTTGTTCGGGTATTTTCCCACGCCATTGTAGTTGTGCTTTTAAAGTTGTAGCAATGTTTTAGCAGAATCTCATCTGCCATCATCAGGCTTCTGTATTGTGTTTGTCTGTGAGTCAGACTTTTACAGTTGTTTTAGTTTAAATTTGGAGCTAGGCTATTGCTATGCCAGAATGGTTTTTTCTTCATCCTGATTGGTTGGGAGTCTTGGTCTGTGTTTATTGGTCTTGGAGTTTGCTGTATTTTGCTTGATTGGTGTTTCTAATATCTTCTGTCTGTTTTGTGGCTTTTTTTTGTGTCTTGATTGGCTGGCAACATTGTGTTCCTGTATTGGAGGCTTTTAGTACAGCTTGGCTTTCGAGTAAATGGACGGCTATCATTTGTTAGGAAGCTAGGTTTCATCTGGGTTCCTGGTTGGGGTGTGTTTGAGCTGGAGGTATCCAGGGGGATCTGTTTGTGCCCAGGTGTTTGCCTGGCTTGTAGTGTGGAGATTTTTTTGTTTGTGAGTGCAGGCTTCCAAATGATTGACAGTCTGGTGGAATCATCTCTTCTATTCATGCTTCCAGGTCTTTTTTCAATCTCTATGGCTTCTCTGATAATTCTGTGGCTGTGGTTTTCTATAGTGGCTAGGGTTTTGGTGCCACTGAAGTTGATGCTATGACCTGTGGCTTTCATGTGTTGGGCCAGTGAGGAAGTATGTTCCAGCTTTTTTACTGCATTTTTGTGTTCATCCAGGCGGGTACTTATTCTTCTATTAGTCTGTCCAATGTATGTGGCCGGGCATGATGCACAGGGGACTTCATATATGCCTTGGTTTTCCAGGTCAATCTTATCTTTGGGGTTTCTAAGGATGGCTGCTATTTTTCTGTCTGTTTTGAAGGCAGTCTTGATGTGATGCCTGTGTAGTATCTTACTGATTTTGTCTGTAGTACCTCTTATGTAGGGTAGGACAGCTGTTCCATAGGTCTGTTCATCTTCTAGGTCTCCATTATGTCTCAGTGTGTTTTTGTGGATCAAGCCGGTGATTTTGCTTTTGTAGAAGCCGTTGGCTGTCAGTACTTTAGTCAGAGTGCATAGTTCAGTCTTTATGTGTGTCTTGTCTGCTAAGCGTTTGGTTCTAGCAATTAGTGTTTTGGCCACAGAATTTATCTGTGCTGGGTGGTGGTGGGATTGGGCTTTGAGGTAGCAGTTGGTGTGTGTATATGCCATATATGGTACAGAAACACCTGACTCAAAAATTGTATGATGGCAGGAACAAGATGCTTAAAACATATATGGTTCATATGGCATGAACTGTGTTGGCTACTGGTATTTTTCTGTTCAAAGCACTTTTACTAAGTGATCAAGAATGGTGGGCTTTCTCTGTTGCCCTACTGAGAAAGTTGTATATAAATGTTTATTTTAAGTCTACTAAATGACATTTGGTTTCTCTACTTGAGCTTCAGTTTTGAAACTCATTTTAATACACTTTTAAGTGCTACAATTTCTTGAAGTTTAATTAATATTGGTTTATTATATAGGATTCTGATTAAATTAGGCACTTTTATTCTTCTAACACTTATTCTAAAATTTGAAATAAATTAAAATTTATTTATTTTGGAAATAAATAAATTTAAAATTGTAAAGCAACCTCCCTGACATGTGTCTGTATTTACTTTTTGCAATCTTACATAAGATAGATGAAATGGCATCATATGATTCTAAAACATGCTTATGCAACTAACAGCATACTATCTTTTTTTAAAGATGGTTTACTCTCGAGTCCAAGCAAGGAAAACGAACTAAAGACAGAGGCGAGATAAAAGTCAACATTCAATTTATGAGAAACAACATGACAGCAAGCATGTTTGACTTGTCAGTTAAGGACAAAACCAAATCTCCTTTTGCTAAATTAAAGGACAAAATGAAGGGTCGTAAGACGGATGGAACATTTTTGGATACATCTTCAGCAATCATTCCAAGTACTAATACTCCAGAAACTAACACTATAACATCCCTCAATGAATTGCAGTTAAAATCAAAGCCAAAAAAGCCTTTTCTTTTGGGACCTCAACGACTCTCTTTGGCTCACTCAATGTCTGATCTAACAGGACCTCAGATAATTTCAGATAAAATTAAATCGGAAACAATTGGCAACTCTTACCTCTTCAGACGTCAGCTTGAGTCTGTTGGTTCTGAGGATGAAGGTGGTAAGTACAGATATCTTAAAAGGCAAACTATTTGAAAAGGCCTTCTAGTAGAATTATTCCAAATCCCATATCTTTATGCACTTATTCCTAAAAAAAATGTAGGTGCTAAGAATTTGAGATACAGTGGAAATCAAATGAAGAATAGAATGCTTCATCAATAATTTGTTTTAATAAGTATAACTTTTATTACTTTATTACTTATTACTATATTCAGTTTCATTTCACTGTAATTTGTTTTAGAAATAGATTTGGTGTATACAAAAGTCCAAAGTTCCAGGTTTCAAATGTTTTTATCTTGAAACAGACATTCTGCATCTTCCATGATTGAAATGAGAGTTTTGTTTCAAGCTTGACAGTTTTGAGTGTTTTGTGCTGTTCCGTATGCTGTGATGAAACATGTTTTCTTGCGGTTGACTTTTCCCAGATGTTGTAGCCTAGCCTCTACAGCAGGTGGGACTGATTTACTGAGCTTTTTGGGGGAAGGGTGCAAAATGTGTATAGTCTTGACATTAAGATACATAGTTACATACAAAGATAACAAATCAAAATAGGACAAGTATTTTCAATTAAAGCTGAAAATACTTGTCCTATTTTGATTTGTTATCTTTGTATGCTCTATGATGCTGTGATCTGTACTTTTTAGAATTCATTTCAATACAACTTTTAATGACTTCTAGAATTTAGTTGTATTACTGGATGTCCTTAGGTTGTTAAGTTTTACTCTTAACTCATGCAAGAATGAGGAGAAACATTTTGTTCCTATAACATATAAGTGCTTTTTCCTCGATTTGTGCAAAACTTGTATTTGATTTTGTTAATAATAGAAACAAACATGGACTTGCACTTGAACTTGATTTTTGTTAATTGTTTAATTTTTTTTCTTCAAATACCAAAATTATTTCTGTAGGAATTTTTTAATGTTTAAATTAAATTGTGGCCAATTTTGCAGCAGGTTGGATGGCACATAGCAATCAACATGAGTTAATATTTCAACTACTCCTCTGGCTCTTGGAGGAAAACACAGAGCAAGGCAGTTCTGTTGAATTCTCATTACTTTCTCTGATTAAATCTTTTAAGTAGTGGAACATAGTCATTTCAGTTGGAATGTTTCTATTTAAACTGTTTTGTTCCAAGCTTGAAACAAAATCTGTTCTTCATATTATGTATATTCATATTATACTTCATTCTTAAACTAGAAAATTTCAGATTGGATCATACATTATTAAAATACAAAAACAATAACAGTGAAAAAATTTTAAACATTCAAATCAGTTAGAAAGACCTAGGTAAACAAAATAGTGTAGCATGTATAAAGCCTATTAGCTAGTTAACATTGATTTTCCCCAGTGAAGTAAGGATTACAATTTGTTCAGATCATTGTATATATGAATTTACAATGTTATAATAAAATGTTTATAGTATTCTGATCAATTTGTCCTTGTGCAGGAATTATTAAAGTATTCAAAATTACAGGGTAATATAAGCTACTTTAGTTTTGTTTTAATTGTAAATTGCCTCTCTTGAAGTAGTTTTGAGTGTAAACGTGGGCTACAAACTGTGAAAATAAATGGCACTATTTTCCTCCACCCTGGTCATTCTCTATGTATAGAAAACTTTTAGTATAGTGGTGCATTTTTGATATCCTTAGAAGTTCTTCAGACGATTATAGTTCTTGTGGGATGTAATATTGGTTGGAATAAACTTTTATTTTAACTTATTGCAAATAGTCATATAATATTTTACATTTGAGTCCAGTTGCATACTAATAACATTATTTTCAGGAAATCTAAAGTCTCCACAGAGACGGACATTAAGTGCAGATACCACTAAAATGAGTCAACTGGACAACACAGGTGATGACAGTGACTCGGCTTTTATAGCTCAAGATCCTTTTATAAATGTGAGCGCTTCATTGCCTCAAAAGTTTGCCACATTGCCAAGACAGAAGAATCCATTTGAAGAAAACCCTTTATCATGGGGACACAATGTGGGCTTATTTTCAAAATCAGCTGAAATAAAAAAAGAGAATAAGAAAGAGAAAAAGGAGAAGGTTAGTCTCTTTGAAAGAGTGACTGGAAAGAAAGAAGGCAAACGATCAGATAGACTTAGTAACGGGGGATCAGAAGGCTCCTCTGATTTGAAATCACCCAGTCCTTTTGCTGAAAGTCATCAGGACAGCTTTGATTTTGATTCCACTAATCCCTTTACTACAAACTTCAAGCCAAAAAATATGCTGCTATCTAGGTAAGTTCCTTGGTTAGATATTTTGAAGTTGATGTTTTTTTATTATAATGTATTTGTTATATTTGTTCAATGAGAACATTATTTAATTTTAAAAAATAAACATTACAGTCCTGGATTGATATTTCAGTGCTGTGAAGTAACTAGCTTAGGTGGGTATTGTGGAACAATTCTGTATCAAACAGTTTTGCCATTCTATTATATAAAATATGTCTAGGCAGCTGAACACAAGTATGTGTGTTTGGGGAACCCAACTACACGTTCAAGTTTTTTAAGTGATTGAAATGTATTTATTTCCTTAGAAGACATCTCACTTTTGAAAGTGATTTTGAAGCATTGCACAACCTTTATAGACTCAGAGTGTCCTTTAGGTACCTGGTGCTAAATAGTAATGGACTTTATTTTTTTTTAAAGGCAGATTAAATAGAGTTTAGAAATGTACTGAGAGCCATAAAATTGGCATATATAATCTGTGTTATATTCTGTTATCTCAATGGTAAAATTGGTATTTTTAGCTGTAGTTAGTATGCAGGTAGTCCTTGACTTGCAATCTCAATTGAACCCAACATTTCTGTCATTAAGTGAGACAGTGAGGTTTGTCCATTTTACAAGCTTTTTTACCACAGTTGTTAAGTGAATTACTGTAGTTGTTAAGTTAGTAACACAATTGTTATGTGAACCTGGCTTCCTCATTTACTTTGTCAGAAGCTTGCAAAGGGTGATCACATGACCTCAGGATATTGCAACTGTTATAAATACATGCCAGTTGCCAAGCATCCAAATTTTGATCACATGGCCATAGAAATGCTGCAGTGATTGTAAGTGTGAAAAATGATCATAAGTTGTTTTTTAATGTGCTGTTACAACTTCAAATGGTCACTAAACAAATGGTTGTAAGTCAAAAACTAATGTATTGAAGTTAGGTGTAATCAAAATTTCCAGATTGACTTAAAAGAAAGTTGCATATCACTTTGAAGAATAATTTTATTTATTCGGTTATTTATTTATTAAGTTATTTATACTGAAGTCAGTTTACTGCTATTGAGATTTGTTTTTCCATAACGAAAGAAAGTCTTTGTAAGAAGTAATAACTTAATTGACTTTTTGTACACATTGATATAGAATCTATAGCTCAAATGACTAATTCTTTGAAAAACTTACATGAGGTCGTATTGTCCCTTAAGAACAATAGAGTTAATGTTTTGTAATCCCAATTACACTTTTCAAAGTTTTCTCTTTAAAGTTCCTTGATCACTTTTATTATATTAGGCTAATGGCACTATTCATCATAGTAGCTATCTAGGTGTTAATGTGTAGTTCTCATAGCAGTCCTGTGCACGGAACATACAGTATTTAAGAACAAATTTCAACTAAAATATTGTTTTTCCAGAATATTGATAACTCTGTGTGCAACATTTTAATAAAAAATGTTTGTTTTTATGCTACACTACAGTAGGCTAATATACTAATGTGAAAATTTCTCAATTTACAGCACTTGACAGGTGTTAAAACAAAAGCATCTTTAATTTTAATGTGTTGTTAGGCCCTCTTTAGAGGGACTGTATAAGTTATTAACAAGGTCCTCTGAGACAGGAGACAGGTAATTAACAAGACCTAGAGAAAGAGAAATTTGGATAATTAATGAGCTCTTAGGCACTGGACACAGGGTAACAAATAGTCCAGTAGTTAAAGGCGACAGGTTGTTACTAACATGATTGAATGCCAGGTTTGAGAATGTGATTAGATAGGTGTCTCAATGAAGTGTCTAATTAGATTATTATGTTGATTTGGTCAGATGTTTGGACTGGATTTCACATTTTTATCTAACAAGTTCTTTCCAGGGACCTGGGATATTGCGATTTGATGATGTTAAATGTATTGTTAAATGTATTTTGTCAATACTAGTGGTATTCAGATGTTTTGGGATTACACCCAAGGCACCTATTACTATTGGCCCTATCTTTGCTTTCTTCTGCTACCGTTGTTTCTCTTCTATGCGCAGGTCTTTGTATTTTGTTATTTTCTCCAGTACTTTCTCTTCTATTTTCATTGTTGTTTAGAGAGCTTCCATCATTTCTACTTTGGTTCCTTTCCAATGTGGCTTATAATTTCTAGCTATGCATTACAAATAGTTGGAAGATTTCTCAGATTATATAGTCTATCTTTCTGCTTGGTAAAGGTTCTACTAACTAAAGCATATCAGACAAATGTTTGTCCAGCCTCAGTTTGAAGATCTTTAGTGAAGGAGAACCTACCACTTCATGAGACAATCTCTTTCATTGGTTGAAGTAAAAGGGACACCTATCTTCTGAAGGTTAATGGACCAAATCTTCCCTGATCAACTAAAATGATGTGAGACTTACTTAAATGATATCATTGTCTATAGCGAAAACTGGGAAAACCATTTAATGCAGGGGTGTCAAACTGGATTTCTTGAAGGGCTGGATCAGCATTGTAGTTCTCTGCGGGCCGGCGGTGGAGGGAGGATGGATGCCTCCTATAGCACCTTGCCAGCCGAAAACAGGCCATGTTGCTGTTTTCAGCCATTTCTGGCCCAGTTTTTGTCCCTGTTTCAGCTGACAGAATGCTGTAGGAAGGTGAAAACAAGGTGAGGAGGGCTTTTAGTGCAGCTTGACTCCAAGTAAATGGACGGCTATCATTTATTAGGATATCTATCTATAAATAGATAGTACTGTTTAGAAAAAAATGGCTGATTTTCAAAAATCTGGGGGAAGGATGATGTATGGAAAAAAAGAGCAACCGTTATTTTGAAATATCACATGCATCTAAATATTTATTATATAATGTATATTTTTATTACTTCCATAGTCTTAATGTGAATTCTGAAAACTCTGAAGAATTTCAAAAAACAATGGTAAGTAACTACTTGATTGATGTTCCATTTGATATTTGAGAAAGGATATCTGCTGTAAGCTTTGTTGTTTAAAACTTTGTTGTTTTTAGCTGACTGATTGAACCCTAATTTGCGGGTTTTCTTTCCTGAATTAATCCAGAACCCTATCTAGTCCAATATGTTGATTTCCTTCTTGACATTGACAATTCAGAAACAAGTTGTCTTTTCTTGTTGATTGTTTTTACATGAGATATATTATCCACAGTAGATGTGATTAATAATTTAAAGGTATAAATAGCCTGTTCTTCATGAATGTGTGGTAAGTGGTTTCATATTAAAAGTTTGGGTGAAAAGCAGAATCATGCAGTCTAATCCCATACCTGATATGCATAAGAAGGGATTTTGCATCCATACTTACATATTTTCTTAATGTTCTAAGTACACAGGGAATAACAATTGACTTAAACTTCCTAACATAAAAAGTGCACAGTATGAATTTGTACCAACATAAATATAGACTGTTTCTCACATTGCTTGAATATGTAAATGTGCCATATGATTAACCTGCATAGACACAGCGCTATTTAAGATGGGCAACCTTTTAATGGTTGGAGGCAGCACTTTTTTCTAGAAACAAAGACTGTAGTGGATGGAAGAATGATGGACAATAGAAACAACCAAATACCACATTTGACTGGGGGTAAGATTTAATCACTTTCCCTTTTTGTTTTGGGGAGAGTTTAACTTCTTTTAAGATTGATTTACGCTTTTTAAAATAATCTTCTGCCTTAAAATGGGAATAAATTGTTTTATCAGTTTTAAGCATTTGCAGTATATGATGTTATGGCAACTACCCCCAAAAATGTGCAAGGGTCATAGCTGCCTATCCTTACTCTATGTTAAAGAAAAATTAATTATCTAACTTTATTTATGTTGCTGTATATTTTTCGCAAGTTTCTTGCCTTCTAATCTGAAGAGATTAACCCCCCTCGGCCTCTATATTGAATGGTTTCATGCATTTTCAACTATATTACCTGTTGTTTTTCACTTCGGTTATATATTTTTAATTAGATGACTAGATACATAATAATACTTTTTCACACAAGCTTGTCAGTTTGATGGAAATAGGAACTTTTATTCATTAAACTCATTGGAATATATATTTTAAGAAGGAAATATATTGGAAGGTAACAGAAATACTGGAAGATGACAATGCATGAGGACTTTTGGACCTGTTCCCTAATCCCTTTTCATCCTTTTGCTTTTTGTTTATTCGAAGATAATATACTCAATTATTATTTGCTAAATCCAAGTCCTATGGGTCTTTTTAAGTGGTTTAGGAAAGTTAATCCAAATGTGAATTCTAGATTGATTAATAAATATTACAAGATGATAATCAAGAAACATTTATTTATTTATTAAAAATAAACTCAATCATAGAAGACTCCCAGTAGGGCACAAAGAGCACCAGCGACAAACCAGAATGAAAAAAGAAATGTAATTTAGAATTACAGGGAAAAAAATTGCAGGTAGTACTCACTTTGCAACCCAATTGAGACTGGAATTTCCCTTTCTAAGTGATATGGTAATTAGGTGAAACAGCATTAGTGACAACAGTTTTGGTAGTCTGTTTTGCTGTCACTAAGCTAGGACTGGGCTGTAGTTAGGCAAGGTTTTCACACTTTTCCTACCCTGCCAGCACCCTTCTACTTCAGTTCATCCTTTCTTTCCCCAATATTTCTGCTCTTTTGATCTCACTGCACTCTGACACCTCCACTGCCCTTGCCAACCTGGGCATTCGTATCTTATCAGCAATGGGAGGAAGAAGACAACAGATTGACTCAAGTCAGAGATTGGGAAAGGAGATAGATGGCTAAGGAAGTTGAAACACGGCTTGTATTTGTAAATGTGGGCAGGTTGCGATCAACAGCCATCATCATTTTGAATAGTCACTGAATGAATGGTTAAGCAAAGACTACCTGCATATCAAAACATCTATCTTTGATGAGTCCCACTTAAGAAGGCCACAAGAGATAGAGCAACCCTAAAGATGTTGGTCATGCTGTTCCACTGGAAGGAGACCTTATTGAGAATAATTGCTTTCAGGCCTTCTCCAATTATATTTAAATGCAATTTGTTGGCTAGTTATGAATCCATCTGGTGGTGATGCTGTCTATCCCCATTTTTCTGTCTTACCAAGAAGTAGGTTAGACAGTTGATATTTGGCATTCTTTGACAAAGTGATTATATTAGAGGATCAGCAAAATGCTGTGGATATAGTATACTTGGTCTTCAGTAAGGCATTTGACAAAGTAGATCATGGTAAAATAGAAAATGTGGGATAGACAGCATCACCACCGAATGGATTCATAACTGGTTGACAAATTATACTCAATCTACATGGGGAGAGGTATGCAGTGGAGTACCCCAACGTCCTGTCTTAGGCGCAGTACTCTTCAACATCTTCATAAATGATATATATGAGGACCTAGAGGGGAACATATCAAATTTGCAGACAACACAAACCTAGGAAGAATAGACAACATTTTATTCAAGATCCAGAAGGATCTAGACAGACTTGAACCTTTGGCCTTAGTTAATAAATTGCAATTTGGTGGTGAGAAAAATAAGGTTTTACAGTTAAGCAAGAAAAACCAAATGCACAGGTATGGAATAAATGGTACCTGGTTCAACAGCAGTAGCTGTGACAGGGATCTAGGAGTCCTAGTGGACAACCACTTAAGTATGAGCCAGCAGTATGTTGCAGCTGTTGGTCCTAGCCTAGTTGTCCTAGGCTACATCAACGAATGAATAACATCAAGATCACATGAAGTATTAATGCTGCTATATACTGTTTTAGTAAGAGTGTATCTGGAACACTGCATCTAATTTTGGTCACAATATAAAAAAGATATTGAAACTCTAAAAAGTACAGATAAGAGCAACAAAGTTGGTTAGAGGGCTAGAGGCTAAAATATATGATGAATGGTTGCAGGAACTTAGTATGTTTAGTCTAACAAAGAGAACGACTAAGGTTGACATGAAAGCAGTGTTCCAATATTTGAAGGACTGACACAAAGAAGAGGGAGGCAAAGCACCTGAAGGCAATACAAAGAATAACAGATCAAAACTTATCAAAGAGAGCACTAAGCTAGAACTAAGAAGAAATTTCATGGAACAATTTCATGGAACAATTAATCAGTGGAATGAGTTGCCTTCAAAAATTGTGGCTGCACCATCACTGGAGGTTTTTAAGAAGAGATTGGACAGCCATTTGCCCAGAGTGATATAGGATATAGGGGTTAGAAATCTCCACGGTCCCTTGCAATTCAGTTATTCTGTTATTTTTCAATAACAATAAAAATGGGAATTTTGGATTAGGTGGTGATATAGATACCTAAGCTGTAGGATAACATAGGATTTTATAGGAAATAATCAGCATCCTGAATTGCACTCAGAAAACCCAGGTATTTAATATGTCTCTTGCAGCATGTTGTCACAAGACAGTAACAAAATGGTCTTGTAAAAGATAGGCTACTGCACTTTATATCAGTTGAAGTTTCTGGGTGCTCTTTTAAGACTGTAAAGCACTCTTTAGCAATAAGGGAAGTGATAATGGCATGAGTGGCCATCTTTAGTGCTCATGAACTAGTTGATCAGGGCTTCTAGGCTTCTATCTATGGACTCCCATGAACTTCATAAACCTTATAAATCATCATGAAAAAAAATAACAAAGGTTCTTAAATGCTAGATCTATTCCAAGTGTATATTCATTTCATTGAAGAGTCAGAAGAATAAATGTAGCATAACTTAACAATCTTTAAAAAGTCTTCAATTCAAACATGGTAATGTTATAACCTGTTTTATAATAACTACAGTAGAACTGTATGGTCGTGACCAATTATGGTCACAACCATAATTCTTTCCATAACTTTGGTTGCAACCTGATTTAGTTGTGACCCAAACCTAATTTTGGAAATTTGGCGCTTACAAAAAATCACACGGAAGGGGAAATTGGCTGCAGGAAAAAAAAATTGTGAATTTTTTTGATTGGAACTTGATTTGGTTGTGGTCAGAAGCATTCATGACTGTATAGATTCTACTGTATAGTTCTACTGTACAGATTTTGTTTTCCCTTGTTTAAAGAGAATGTTATTTGTCCAGACTGGGCTGAAGCTGTCACTAATTTTAGAATCAGTTCTTTAGATTTGGTGAAGTATTATTTAGGAAGAGCTCAATTGAACTCATTGAGCTATCACATTTATCTTTAGTAGGCCTGAATAATAAATGTTACTATTTATCCAATATTTCAAAGCTTTTTATGTTTGTGCTTCTATATTATTATTCAGAACAATATAACAATTTTTTTAAAAAAACTATTTTACTTTTGAAGTCCGAATTATGGGAATACAATATCTAGAAGGCACTTTTCAGAAAATTTAAAACATAACTATTGAAATAATTCAAATATTACAACTTAACTATTAAATATTAAATTTAACAAATAAATTTGAAGTAATTTAAATAGTGTTCTTTCAATGACTTACATTGTGGTTTTCCCCTAGGAAATGGTATTTTATATATTTGTTTTGTTTTGTTAGTGCCGTCACCTGTGACTGAATGAGAGGTAGCCCATTGAAAAGAAAGTCCAATTAAAAAGCCAAAAGGATAATGGAAAAGTAAAACAAGAGATGTGAAAGTGGTTTCAATTATATTCCCAAAACAAAGCTCCTCATTAGAATAAACAAATGATCAAAGAATTCCAAGTTCAAATGTTATCTTTGCTTTTTCCAGCAGCAGCTATCAGTTTGTACCCAAATAATACTTGTTTATCCCGCTTTTTCTATACGCTTCCTAGCTTGAAACAGTGTGGTTTTTTTCCTATTCTTTATTGAATATGATAGCAGTATTGTTGGGAAATGGCATAGAATATTTATTTTTAGTTAATTTGTCCTCATTTACTGAACATGTGTTTCCATTTAAGATAGTAAAATCATACTGATCTCAGTCACTATATTAGTTGCATAGACAGAGTTGTTTTACTTGAAACTATGCATATGTTTTGATCTAAATGATCAGAAATGAACAAAATTTAATATATTCAACCATCTGCGGTATATAATTAAAATGGTATCTCTTCTGCCAACTGTTATAAAGTTGGAAACAGGAAAAAATTGATTATCTGAAATATGAACAGATTTTTTTAAAAGTGTGAATGAATATATACATATAGAATTCTTACTTATATAATTCAGAAATATCAACAGTATGGATCACCATTTCTTTTAGATTTTGGAACCTATATGATACTTAAACTTCTCGCAGTCATAAGTATTTAAGTATTTATAAAGTTGCAGGAGATATAGACGCTATTTTGAGATGATTTCTAAAAGCAGATGAGATATAAACATAGATAAAGCACTTTTTTATTTTCAATTAATGATTAGGAGCTCAAAAAAATTAACACTTGATTGATTTGCAGCATTTATAACACCTTCCTCACTCACCCATTCTAGTTAGCTTTATTTCAACTTTCCACCTGCATATTTTAATGATATGTAGGATAGGTGCCAAACTAAATAGAAGTAATTTAAATGAAAGGGATTGAAACTTAATTATTATTGTGCCTTTGATGTAGTTTAGCTCCCTAAATCACTAGTGAGTTTTGGTATTATTTTTTATGATCTTATTCAAATATAAACAAAAAGCTTCCCATTTGTTACCAGAGTTGAAAATCTGATTTAAAGGCTACAAGTAATTAAATATCTCACATTCATAGCAGAAATTCTGCTTTTTACTAGTAGACAAGCTGAGGAATTTGCTTTTATGCTGAGAGCATAAAATGTTTTTATTTGTAGGTAACAAAAATTACAATTTCATTTGAGAAGCAGTGTATAATATTCTGTTTTTAGTGTAATGTTTTAGTCAGTTCAATAAACTGTTTCTTTATTCAAATTTAATTATATTGATACAATGGAGCTTTATTTTGAATGGATACAAATGCATATGCACAGTAAATTAAGTAATCTATGTATAATCAACAGTTTTTTATTTATTTATTCATTAATCAAATTTATGTTTCAAGAAGTTGCTCTGGGTAGCTTATAATAATAGAATATAAACAGCACACACATAAAATAATTATTATAACAATATACAAATCAATATTAAAATTAAATATTTAAAAACTTACACAAGCATCTCTTTTATTCTTCCATTTTTTTTGAAAAATAAAATAAAATTCCGTATGTATGACCAGTAGTCATATAAGACAAATTTCAGATATTCTATTTTTTTACTAAGTGTTTCATTGAAATATTGATAGATTGTCACTATCCTTAAATTTAGATATTAGTCAACTTTGATCAATCTGGAAGACAAACCTATATACTGTTTTGTATATTAGAAAGTAATTGTGTACATCTAAATGTCACTTCCTTTTAAATGCCATTTCTTTTAAATGTCATTTTAAATCTCTCTCTCTCTCTCTCTCTCTCTCTCTCTCTCTCTCTATATATATATATATATATATATATATATATATATGCTTGTATCTGTCTATTAGTGTGAATAGTTTCAAAAAGGCAGAAGAATTCATTGATATAGTGGATGAGCTCAGCTTTAGTTGATTATTTGAATGTATTAAGTGTCACCTAGATAAATAAGCAAGGGAGAGTATTTTTATATCATAGATTTTACCTCATATATGAAATAATACTTTCAATTTCATTCATTCAGTTGCAGATCATTGGATTATAGTGTGGTTTCTGCGGATGTGAATTAGCCCTAACTTGCTGTTTAAATATAGAAAGAGATAGATACAAGCAAATCTTAAAATAGAGCCTGGATTCATTAAAAAGAAGCATGTAGCATTATCTCACTGTTGGGAAGCAACCAAGAAATGTTTTTGAGTCATGTCTATTATCCATTTTAATCATATTGGGTTCTTTTCAAATATAGACTAGTTGCCTTGCATCATCATCATCTGCCAGGAAAGTGGGAAATAGTCCAGAGAAATGTTCACTTAATAACACTGCACTGTGGATCCCAGATGGAGGCCTCTTTCACTTAGATCTCAATTACAATCTGCTCCTGCTTTTGCTGCAGACCAACAGTGAGAGATAGAAAAAAATGGTGTTCTGTAAATTCCTTAGTATTTGTATTTTCCTGCAACTTTCTTATTGAAGTTCTTCCAGAATTTAAAGCTGAACCATTCTGACAGTTGCAGGATTTACCTAGAATTCTCTGGGTTGTTTTATTTATTTATTTGTTGCTTTTCTGTGTGAATTTGTGTCCCAATTTTCAATTAACTAGCTATTCACATGTAACAAGAGAAAGAGAGAGAGGCCCTGTCATCAGGATTACCAAATAAAAAAGCAAGCTATGCAAGCAAAAGGAGTGGATGAGATCAGTTGTTCAAGGCCAGGACAAAGTAATAAACTATACCCAGGATTTGTAACCATCTGGGCAAACCTAATCTTCATGCTTTCTTGAATGGCAATTAATTGTTCCTGTCTCTTTCACTTTTCCCCTTTTCTGGTTCAAGTATACAGGTTGTTTGCAGCTAAGGATTTCTGTCTACATAGAAAGATATAGCTGTTCTTTTCCTGGCTTATGAATATAGTCAGCCTGATCATTCCAATACTTCATAGTCATAACAGTTGACCTAGATCAGTGGTTCCCAAAGTGGGCGGTACCGCCCCCTGGTGGGCATTGGGATGCCTTAGGGTGGGGCTGAAAGGCAAGGGTGCTGGCAGGGGGGCGCTAAGATTCGGCAGGGGCACTGGAGATGAGCGGCAGGGCACAATTCAGGGGTGAGAAAAAATCCCGCTACCACCGCGCTCGAGGCAAGGCCCCGCAGGATCATCCCGTTCACTTGCATGCTCTGGTGCAAGGAGCTACGCCCCGAACGCAGTGTTGGGAAAGGAGAGCAAAGCCAGAGGTCGGTAATTTTTGCTGCAAAGAATCACAAAAGCTTCTGGATTGTGCACAAGAAGGGACACACATGTCAATGCAATTCAGCAACATAAAGTAAAGAAATACAAATAAATCAACAAGAATCGGCAAAGCATTTCTGATTAGATTTTATTCATTACTCGAATCTAATCAGAGATGCTTTGCCGATTCTTGTCCAATGACCTGCTCCAGCAGGGTTGGAAGGGAGGATGTGTATATGTGTGTGCATGGCTGTCAAAACTCCAAAAACAGGTCAAGTAGTTCTGAGGAGACCAGTCATAAATTAGAAAACTTGCTAAGCAACCGGCCATTAAGTGAGGACTGCTTGTATTTGGTTTGCCAGTCACCTAACCACGCTCATCCAGTCACGTGACCAGCAAGCCACGCCACCAATCACGTTACCAGCAAACCACACCCTCAAATTAGGCCACGCCCACAGAAATTTGACTCCCACCCCTGGGTGGACTGCATTGAGGATGAGTTTGTAGCATGAAGGAGGCGGTGGACTGAAAAAGCTTGGGAACCACTGATTTAAACAAAAAAATATTGGAATAGCAGTTTTGATAGAAACAATAGAAATATACCAAATCTTATAATTCTTGATGTCCAATGGCTGATTCGAGAAAATGTGTGAAACAATTGTTGCCTCCTGTTACAACATTACAACTTCTAGTGAGGAACAAATAAAATAGCTTTCCTGATTTTTTTCATGCTTACATCGGTTATAACATTGCATATGTTACCTACATGAAATTTTGCACACAGAAAGACACATCTAGTGAATAGTTCTGAAATTGTATGATTAAAATTGGCTGTGATGTAGAAATATTATCTGCAGCTTCCAAATGGTAGTAATATAAGTATCCTTGATTTTTACCAATCCATATAAAATATAGAACACATTTACTAAATGCTCTCTGCATTTCTTTAAAAATGGGGTTCTAATTATTCATTAATTCATGAAGTTTGTGACATCATCATGTACAGTGCTATGTAGGATGTGCTATGACAGGAGTGTCAAACTCAATTTCATTGAGGACTGCATCGGGGTTGTGTTTGACCTTGGGGAGATGTGGCTACGAGTGTGGCCAGCTCAACATCACTCGTGTTGGGGACACCTCTGGTGGCCCAAGCACTCTGCCAGCGAAAATGGGCTCCTGTGTTCTGTTTTTGGCTGCAAGGCCTCCTGCAACCCACTGCCAGCAAAACCGGAGCTCAGGTGCGCCATCTGCAGCCTCCGGAGCTCTGTTTTTGCTGGCAGAGGCATTGTGGTCCTTTGCTGTTTCCAGAGCCGCCCCATGGACCAGATCTAAGCACCCCATGGGCCAGATCCGGCCCCAGGCCTTGAGTTTGACACCCCTGTGCTATGATAACAAAGTTAGAGCAGTGTTGAAATTACATGAAGTGATACAGTGAAGTTAAGTAATCCTTAATTTATGACCACTTGTTTAACAAATGTTCAAAGTTATGACAGCACTGGAAAAAGTATCTAATGACTGGCCCTCACACTTAAGTAGATTGCAATATCCCCACAGTCATGTGAACAAAATTTGAGCACTGGGCAATTGGCCTGTGTTTATGGTGTTTGCTGACTCCTGAGGTCACATGATCACCATTTGTGACTTCCTCAGTGTCTTCCAACAAGCAAAATCAATGGGGAGAGCACATTTGCTTATAAACTGTTTAAAAGTGGTGATAAAATTGGGTATGAATGACTTAAAGACCACATCGCTTAATGACAGAGGTTCTGGTCCCAACTGAGCTTGTGAGAACTACCTATATGCTGTTTGTTTCAATATTTTAAAAACTTGTTTTTAAAGACAAAAAGACATTTCAAGACAGAAATGGGTCTTGACGTATTTGCAGTATTTATACAGAGGTGTTTGTCATAAGTGCATTTCTTTGCTCTTTATTTAATTGTGCTTCTACAGTGCCTTTGGAGAAATACATGGAGAAACTTTTGTGAAGCCTCTGATTCACATTTTTCTATTAAGGCAATGCTTCTAATTTTGTCATCTTAAAAAATATCTTTATTCTAGGATGGAAATCCTTTTGATGCTGCAACAGGATATCGTAATCTTACATATGAAGAGGTCTTACAGGAGTTGATGAAACACAAAGAACAACTGAAGAAAAAAGATACCCACATTCGTGAACTTGAGGATTATATTGACAATCTTTTAGTACGAGTAATGGAAGAAACTCCAAGTATTCTACGAGTGCCATATGAACCCTCTCGGCGAGCTGGCAAATTTTCAAAAACCTAAGCTAATGCCAACACTCCTTGGTATTAATTAAGAGGGTGGATTGCTTAGTCCAGTGTTTTGATATTGTAAATTTCATATTCATGTTTTGTCCTAAAAGCATTTGACTCCAAATTTAAGTTAGTATTAGTTTTTGAATCTGTATATAAACTCCAGGTTTTACAAGATAGATGTAAACTCCTTTTACTGCAGAACATTCCTTTACCTTGAACATGTACTTACAGGTATGCTTTATTTTCAAAATATTATGGTTAGTTTGGATAATTGTGTACAATAGTCATCTAATATACATACTTGAATATTTATTTTGCACTTCATTCAAACACTTTGGGATTTTGCAGCATGCTTCCAGAATGAATGTGCATAGTCAGAATGTGTTTTGCAGCTCTTAATATGAAGGAAAATGTGATGTACTTTAGGAATCACTATTAAATGAGGCAATAATACATTTTTGCCTGAGGGGATGAAGTAGAGCTTATATTACATTTGTGCTCTTGAAGAAATGTGAGCTTTTCAAATGGCAAATTCCATAATCTATATGGATGGAACAGAGCTTAATATATATGAAGGTACAGCATGCCATTGGTTTAGGCACACAGATGTATATTTTAAACAAGAGAAATAAAACAGAAGAAACTAGTGGATAATACCTCATTTGTTTAGACTATAAGAAGCATGGAGAGAAAAGCTGACAGGAACTTTCTAAATATTAATATGTCAGCCAGCGTATACATGTGTGTTTAGGGGTTTGCCTGTATACACATATGCATCATTTGGATTCTGCAATATTTGAGACGAGATTGAGATTAACTTGCTTGTTTTCTCCAATATAGGAAATTATTTTTTAAAATTGATTGCAATTATTTCAGTACTGTATTCTGTGTCAGAGTCAAATATTGTCCTCTATTAAAGAGTGATGGACATAGTGACTCAGCATGTCTCTGACTAAATAAATTTATGTGCATTGTTGTGCAACTATTTCATAGTGGTAAATGCAATTCTAATGGAAAATATTGCCATACAGAAAATATTGTTTACTATATTGTAATCCTTTATTTTACAAAAATTCAGGCAGAATGATTGCTAGTATGAAGTGCAAATAGGCTTAGACATAAGGAGTATGCAGTGTTGGGAAGAATGAAATGATGTTTTTCTTCAATTTTCTTCTTGATTGTGTAATGCACATTTTTTCATGGACAAACATATAAGCATTTCTATGGAGAAAAATGGAAAATATTTTTCCTTTTTCAGAGTAATAATAAGTTTAATTCAGAAAGTTTTGTTTTTGATTATGTATTATTGATTAAAACCCTTTTGTAACTAAAATAGCTTAATGTATTATCAGAAAGAGCAACAATTCCTTGTATTTTTAAATTTTCTTAACCACATTAAGCAGCATATTGTGCCATGAACAGAGATCCCATTTGGATTATTAGACTTTGGTTTATTTTGGGAGATAGTTTGCATACATTTTTCCTCTATAATTCAAATAAAGTACAAATTCTAAGCTATGCTAGCATACATTTGTCCTCTATAATTCAAATAAAGTACAAATTGTTAATATTAACTTGTGCATTTAAAATAAGTGTTTATTTTCATAGTTTCTATAGAATATATTTTGAAAATCAGTTGGTGGTTGAAAGGTTTCAGATGTTGCATAGTAACACATTTAATGACTTTCACTTACATTATTTAAATTCTTGGGCCATTGACATTTAATCTGAGATTCCATTATATTAAATTATTAGGTTCTCTCTACATGTGTTTTTCAAATACACCAGATGAAAGTAAACCACTTTATATGTTGGAAATTTTAATATTTAATTTTTTAAAACTTTTTAAGTTTTCAAATTAACTTGGTTAATCTTAATAGGAAATATTAACAGGCTGGAGTGTAAAGGGTTTCTTAGAATTAAATAAGGTTAAGCTTTATGGAGGGTTTTGTTTTTTGTTTTGCTTAAATTCTCTACTTTTAATTTCTGCTTGATACAAAAGTGAATTAAAGGATGCTTTAAATTTACAATAATTATAAAAATCACAAAAGGCAGCTATGTTAAAAGACATCATAAATATATTCAATGCAATGTATATAAATAGCAATTCTTTATAATTTATATATTAAATTTATTAATATAATTTAAATACTGCTTTGTGATCCAACTTCTTAAATATCAATTTCTTTAGGTATATAATAACTGAAACTTCAAAAGAGGTACAAATTTTCCTTTTATAAATCTTTTACAAAAGCAAGCACAAAGTACCAGCTATAAAATAAATTAGCAGGGACCGCCTTTGAAAGCATAATTGTTGCGTCTATGTCTCTTTAATGATATAGAGGGCAATTTTGCTTTAAATATGATGTTGGTGAAATCATAGCCAGTATTAATGTGTTTTCAGAGCTTATTATTCTCTGCAAAGCATATAATTCATTAATTTATTTAAAATAGAATGCTGCTTTCAATAATATTCCACACAAAATAAATTCTGAAGCATTGTTTAAAATCAAATTACATCTATTGAAATTACCTGATGGTAATATTGGGAAAGCATATACTGTATTTCATACATTCTTGTGATACCTTGCATGAACAGTAATTTCAGCTTAATTACCATTTTTCATTGAATATAGAATTATCCATAGATTATAGTTGGCTAATCTATTGTTGGCCTTAAATCTAGGGTTATTTGTAATGGTCCAGCTATGAAAACATTACCTGTATTTTGTACGCTTTTTCAGTTGGAATAATAATCTCTGTTAAGCATTTTAATGACTTCTTCCATTCTTCCGTTCTGCCTTCAAACTTTTGCTCAGATTCTTAAAAGAGATCAAATGTATATCTTAAAGTTATTGCTGCACTGAATATTATTAACAGTGTAAAATGGCTATCTATCCAAAGGCCTGTGCACAAGTGGTGCATTTATAGAGTGTTAGGAATGCAAATATATGTATTTGAAAACATGTTTTAAATATGTTAATTTCCTCCTGATTTCAAAGCAACTGAAAAAAGGCCACAGCATTGATAGGAAGAAAAAGGCAGTATTAGTTCCATTAAACGGTTTCTCCTCCCAGTATTTTAAACATGAAATATCTTCCTAATTTTCCTTTTTATGAATGTTCAATATAGTTCTAGATTCTATTACTGTTATTAAAAGTTTTTAGTATACAATTGCTACAGCACTTTATCTTTTTTAAATTTTAAATTTTTTAAAATAATTTTACAATTGGTTTAACATTATCACACCCTAAAAGATTGTTAGCCCAACTAAATCTTCTAAACCAAGTATCAAAGGAATCTCAAATACATATATTTCAGTTTACCATGAATGATGTATCCGATTCATTCAGCGTGGATAATTCCAGTTTTTATATATTAGTGTGATAAAATGCATAAACCTGTATAGCCATATATTAAATCCCCAAACAGGTCTTGCACAAAGAAAAGTTCAGCTTTTCTTGTTGAATAATGATTTTTCTCCACAAAATGAAAAGTCATGATGTAAGTTGCGCCTATGTGTGTAGAATGTGAAAATGCATGAACCATCAGTTTTGTTGCATACTTTTTTAAAATCAAAATTGTAATCCTAAATTTTAGATTTTGTCCCAGTGGTTGCTGCATGTAAGCACTAATAAAATGCCACTGTGTACTCCAGTCACTTGTGTCGTCATCATTTTAATGTATTCAGTATATGCTACCATTTACTCTGCCATACCAAATTAATAGCTAAAATGTACTCCATGCAATAATATTTAAAAATTCGAATTAATTGGTCAGTGCCTGGTAAACTTCTGCAACAGGGGAAAGGCTGGGTACTGGACTCAGTGCTTCCTGAACAGCCTCTTTCTGAAGGTGGGTCCTAGTTGGCACCATGATTGACAGACACACACACACACACACACCCATGAACCTCAATAGAAAGAGGCAAAAAACAACTGAATAAACATGGTTATATGCTCACATTAGTTGTGAAGAGTGGTAAAGTAGGCTCACTGTTATTGTATCAGTTACTTGGCCTACGGTCTTGTTTAGGTTTCGACCTTTTGGAGATGAGTCATTTCAGTTGGCTGCTAAAATCAGTTTGCATAATACTTTGCTGACAGAGAAGTGCCACAATCTTGACTCATCAGAATTTGGGGTGTGACTAGGGCATTGCCTACCCATATTATTAGGATTCTCTTTGTATGGATGACTTCCAAGGAAGTGGAGGTGAGGTCTTCTGCCATATATAAATCCTTTGGATCCCTGGCTTTTGTGAGGAGTGAATGGGGAAGTGATCACTTGGATCCATGAGATTGATAATCCCTCTCTGTGTGAAGGGAGTTGCCTACGGTCAAGCAATAGATTGTGGTATATTCTCTAAAAATGCCACCTCTGAATCCTTTGTTCCTAAATTGCTATTGGCTAATTTCTAAACTTCTCCTTTGGGGACCTAGATAGAATTGATATACCTCTCTTGCTCCTCTTAGATCTCTTGTAGTTTTTTGATAGCATTGATCATAGTAACTTACTGCAGGGGTTGCCAACTTTTTGGACCTCAGGGACCACCAAACTCATAATTTTAAATTCCGGGACCATTAATATGAATTTTGACGGAGGCTTGCTGACATTGGTGGGAGAGAGAGAGATCTGATCTAACCTTCGCCCCTCCCTCTCTCCCTCTCTCTTTTTCTCTCTCTCTCTCACACACACAAATGCACAGAGATCCCTCACACACCCCACCCTCTCCAAGGCAGTCACATTCCTGCTTTTGAGCTCTGTTCTCAGGGGGAGGGGGGGAGAGAGAGAGATCCAATCTAACAGAGAGCACGCTCTCTCTTTCTCTCTCTCTCACACACACACACACCCTCCAAGGCAGCCACATTCCTAACCTGCTTAGAAGAAAAAGTGGAAAGCAGCCTGGTGGCCAGGCAAGTTCCCCCCCCTCCGCCCTTCCCCCCCTCTCCTCACTACCTTGTGTTTTTCTGACGCAAGCCTTGTGTTCCCATGGGCCAGCCATATGGGCGGTGCAGCCTTGTGTTCCCACGTAGCCTGGGTTAATTGCTTTGGGGGGTGCTCTGGGGGTGATATTCCTCTGTGGACCACCAAAATTTTCTCGTGGCCCATCGGTTGGTGACACTGATTTACCGGACTATCTTTGGGAATCAGGAAGATGAAACATTGCCTTAAAGTGTATCTTCTTCTTCCTAAGAGGATGATCTGCAGTTATGGGGAAGAGATGGTCTGATTTATGGGATATAGTAAGAGGTTGATCTTGATGGGGAAGATCCAGTAGAGGCAACAAGCAAATAAACATTGCAGAAGCCCAGGTTAAGGTTTGGCAGAGGGAGGGAGGAGTGATAAAAATATCCCAAATTCACATGAAGATAGAAGGATAAGCACATTATGACTTGCAAAATTGTGCTAAAATAGCCAATCTTAATAAAACTTAAAAATAGTTTTAGAAACACCTGGTATCTGTTTCTTGGTGTAGTCTAGGTTTAGGAACTGCTCATCCCATGTATTTAACATCTATATCAAACCACTGGCGGAAGATACAATAGTTTGAGCTATATTATTATCAGTATGCTAATAATATCCAGATATGCATCAGTTTCCTGGGCTGTAGAAATATTCTGTTGGTGTTCTTTCCCAATGTATGGAGGCTTTGACAGTCTGGAGTGGATAGAACCGGTTGAAGTCAAATCCAAGCAAGGTGGACTTGCTATTCTTCCAGCAATCACAGCCCAGTAAACAAATCTTTCTCAGCCTAAGAAGATATTTTACAAAGTGGAACTTGGTTCTCTGAAGACTAGTTTGAATGTACTTGTTTCTAATTATCGCTAAGAGAGTTCACCCTGAGCAGACGGGCATCACAAACTTCACATGATGATATATGTGATTTTGTACAATTTTACATATGTACATAATTCAATTATTATGTTTCTGAATAATAAAACAAGTTATCTGACTCTATAGTTGTCAGATCTTAAGTTTAATCACTTTAAAAATAAAGAATGTGATCCCTTTAGAGGACATTTACTCAATTTCTAATTGTGCAAAGACAGAAGCACTTTCATTTAGCAGAGATCGATTTGAATTCATTTTCTCAGCTTAAGATACCTACCTGTGTGTACTTAGTTATGGTTCTGCTTAATTAAAAGCCATTATACTCTGGTTTTAAATGCAAGATGGTAGGAAGTTTAGCAGATGGGTTCGTAACTAAGGCAAAGCCCATAAGACATATGCCTGGGGCAAATGCATTGCTTCAGCCTGCTGTCACCTCAGTTTTTGAGATTTCTAGGACACTTTTCTAAACCTTTAGGGATTAGACTCACCAGTATCAGCAGGCAGTGTCTTATGAAATCTGGTGACATAGGCTGAATGTGGCAGACCAGATTGCCTCTATTGTTGCCCCATGTAGGTGCCTGCTGCATGGTGCCAATAGCTTTAACAAGGAAAAACATTGAAATGTGTCATGTCACCTCCTCCTAAATGATTGCTGCTGGCCTTGTTAAGGTGTTGTGGGCCTCA